TATTTTATAATTTAATATGAAGATAATATTAAATTACAGTTCTTCCTATTAAATTAAAATAGGGAGAACTAAGATCATTGATATGTTATTAATGACTTTTATTTAATTGTTAATAAATTTTGTAATAGTTAATTCTTTTGCGGGGAGCCAGGGGTAATTCTTTCATTAAAATATTTTAGGAGAAGGAAAAGTCAGTAAAAGACAGGGTGATGAGATCGAGATGGCGATCGCGATCGCGATCGCATAAACAGCAGAGGAAGAAGGGAAGGGAATGTGGGGATCACATTTGGAAGCTACAGGAAAAAGACAGAATGTGGGCCCATGTTGGGGACACCTCACACAGATGGGCACATGTTGCGTGTGGGTCCCACGAGGACCGCGTGGGCTCCAGCCGCCACCCTTCCTTTCATTCTCATGTTACGGGCGTGGAAGTGGAAAGCGTGATGTGCTGCTCCTGCCTCGCCGTAATTGTTGCGCCCCCTTCATTTGATTTTACTTTGTACTATTTATCTTCATTATTTTATTTACTATCGTTGGGATGAGCACAACATTTTTTTGTTTTGCACGAAAGAGAACCATTTCATGAGATGAGCACAATATTAAGTGTTTATTATCTTAGGCTATTTTTATGCCAACAAACCTTATTGATTTTTACACTTTTTTTTTTTGGCTCTCTAGTGTGTTCTCTACCGTGTCTATCTACATTTTCTTTTATTTTGAATGCTATCAATTTTTTTATAGTGTTAGAACTAGAGTGTTTTCTCCTAGCGTGATCGTTCAGTCCTCTAAAAACAGTCGAATCTTATAATTGTCCTCTCATAATTGTTCATTTTCGTGACAATGTCTGCTGTCCTTCGACTCTTGCTCCAGGTGACTTCAAATCCCTGAACTTAATTACAATTTACACTAATTATTTACATTTTTTTTAAATGTCGCGTCTTAATGTAGTTAAAATTGGTTACTTACATACATATGATAGCCATGTGAAAGTGTTGAAACCTTGAAAGGCAAACATTCCTATCAACCATGTGAAAGGTGGTTTGTTCAATGATTGTTTGCTTTTGTTAGTGTGGGGCGTGTGACATGAGGGGTCCGCCTCTGTAGAATAACAACAATAATAATACGATGGCACTCAGCTCCTACCAGGAATTCTATGGTGGCATAGATTTGGGTTTTGATTGAAACCAGACTCTTGTCTGAGTCCCTGTGATGTGGGCATTGTTATGTCTATGCAAAAATCATCACCAATGTGAACACCACATTGCAGATATGGTAATTGAGGTCCCCACTCTCACACCCAACTTCTATCAATGTCAACCACCACACTGAAAGTGAAACCTCAATTATGATTCAAATCAAACGCCCATCGCAAGAGAGCAATGCTCCTCGGATTCACAACTCAACAACACAGTGTTCGGTTTTTTCAGGCCTGTAACCATGTCAGCAATATGAGCATCCAAAGACGGCCCTTGGCCCCCACCAAACTCATGCTCAAAGGTCCAACCTTGTATCACATTTTTGCCATGTCCTAAAATCTATTGAAACAATCCCGTCACTTATAAGCTTTTTTAAAAGTGGAAGGTTGTATGTTTGATCTTTCTCTTAATCTCATGTTATTAGTACATGTCTTTTATTTTTTTAAAAAAAAAAAACAACCTATTATAACAATTGTATTAACTTTCATTTTTTAAAATAATAGACTGCTTAAATACAAAGTCTCAAATTTGAGTTAATGTGGGTGCAGGAAACTTCCTTGAGAAAGTTATCCTAATTGATCATTTACTCAAATCCAACTCAATCAAATAACTATATAAAAAAGTGTTATTTTTTTATTAATTGATAATATGTAACTCTCTAAGGTGATTTTTTTTACCATTTACAGCACTGAGTTTTGAACAACTTGAAAACTTAGCGAAAGAGTTATGTTGTGATTGAAAAGCTAAATATTTGTCACCTCATTTTTTCCTCAGAATGAATTGAGAGAACGAAAGTTCCTTCACAACCAGGTTTCTAAGCAATCACATTCGCACGCCCTAAAAAGTCCAAAACAATATCTAAAGTTTGACAATAAAATGGTTTGAGACCCTTGCGTTAGACATTTTCTTTAAAACCATGCAGTTCTGGTTGTGAGGTTCATTTCATAAATCAGAGTTGCACACCTAAGAAACATGACTCCCAGTAAAGTCATCACACGCTCCTGGCTTATTAGATTTTCAGCTATTTAAATTAATTTAATATTCAATTAATTGGTCAATACTATGAATTTTACACACAGCAGTAAACAACTGATTGGCTAATATAATGTTGAATGAGAAATCATGAGGCCATTTTTTTCACCAACCCTCGTACGTACTCGCATATTTCCATTTTCCAATTAGAACATCATCGAAAACGAAATTGATGTATTTATTTTTAATCTCAATCGTCGATATTAAATGCTATGAGATTATTTTTAGCTGTGAATGGGCACCGAGTTCAGACGCGAGTTGGAGACTTACAATAGCGTGTTTAGACAAGCGTTTCCGATCCGATGATCCTAACCTCTACATTTGCAACTTAAAATTGCTTCTAGTTTTCTAGAAACTCTCACACTTATTTAACATAAATCATCCTCTGTCAAAAAAAAATTAAAAAACTCATTATGAGAGATTGAATGATCATTTTTAATCATGTGCCTAAAAATAGATAAATGCATAATAATTGAGATATTAAGCTTTTTCATATTCCACTCATGGGGTGTAGAAATCTTTTATACTTCGACAAGATATAATTTGGTTCTCCTTTACAATGTTTATCCATGGCATGGTACTAAAAAGAATTTGCTCTCTGCGCATTGTCATAGCTTCCAAACCTCCGCTTGCATTTAGCATTTCACGTCTTCAACAACGTAACTTTTTGCACTTTGCTCTCAAACGACATATTTGAACACGCAAATGAAATCAAGCGCCATCAATTTATGTGAAAACATCCGACTTTTTTTTTTTTTTAATTGAGCGCAGGTGTTTTTTTTTTAATCTCAGGAAACTTTATTTAAGACACTGTTAAATACTAAATATAAACACTCTTTCAATAGAGATTTAAATGTGATGAAGTGACTTTTTTCTTAGACTTAAATTCCAATGGAATTTATACTTATAATTTGAATTTAATAAATAAAATGATTTTTACATAAAGAGAATTACATTGAAGTCTCACATATAAAAATTAATTATTATAAAATTCAATAACAACTGAATTAAGAAGATTGATAACTAATTGTATTGTTAATTGTCTAAGTTTAGTTATTATTGAATCTTGTAGTAATTAATTTTTATGTATGAGACCTGGATGTATTTTTTTTTTTCATTGTGTCATGGGTGCTATTATTGAGATTGTCGCTACCTTCGCACGGTGACAGGTGCCAACACCATCCATCAATGTGAAACTAATTAATCAAATCCATGGAATCTTTTTTGAAAAGAATTCATTAAGGACCCCTCAACTGTAGATATTAAAAAAAAACTATAGAAATCCTAATATTGAAATTTTGAAATCCTACTAGTATGAACTTGAAATTCTTTCAACCCAATGATCACCAACTCTTTATGAAAACCAAATTTTCTTTGTGGTTGTCTCCTAAACACTTTCCCAACCAGCACTCTCAACTTGATCTCTCAATAAACCTTCCAAATCTTTGATTCAATCTAATCTTATGTTTAACTCTTCAAATAAGATGGCTCGAGTGAAAATTATAAAGAAGTCACTCATAGATTAAGGAATCACTCTGAATGGCTTTCACGACATAATCTTGTTATGAAAGGAAAATAGAATGAGTAGAAGCACTTCGAAAAATAAAAATGAGATGTTAGACCAAGTTAAACAAGTTGCTAATGCTCAAAAGAAGTGAAAGAGGGGGGAATAGAGGGAGAGAGTGTTCCTATGCTTTTGCCTGTCTCTTCCACCACCTTTCTTTGCTAAATTTTAGCTTTTTTGTTTTTCTTTACAATGAGAGACAATATTATTACTTGACTTTAAAGTTCAATATCAAATTAGAACCCTAATCTTTAAGGTTTTCTTTTTTAATATCTACAATCAAGGAGTTCTTAATGAAATTCACCCATCTTCTTTTCCCATCAAAACACAAGAAGAAGTCAATCACATCTCAAGAACAAATCATCAACAGCGAAGTATTTTGGAGTCATGAATTTTTAAAAGTCTAAAATGAATCATTTCTTCAAAGAAAATATGAAATAAATAAGATATTGTGTGTGCGTGGGTGTGTGTTCTTTTTCCCCTTACATTCACCTTTCCTTTCATTTTTTTTCCATTTCTTTGTAATTATAAAATCAGTTAACTTATATCTATCTCTAAATTCAACATTCCCACTATCAACCTCACCCTATTATTAGTTGATCCTTTCAACCCCAAACCAAATCCATTATGCCACACCCATTCCTTGCAGCCTTTGGCTTCCCATATAATCAGTTAAAAAACAGAGATGATAGAAAATTTTAAACAAGAGTAAATAAATCAAACAAACCTCACATGAATAATCTTATTTATTATTCATGTCATCTTATTGTATTACGACAATATTTTAAGAATTCAAAGTCTTCATCGGAGGCTCAAATCTTCTTTGGATTATGTAAGACTCAGATTGATTTCGATTTTCTTATTGAAGGTGAGGTCATCGTTTACAAAATCTTCGTTGGACCTTTTCAACACACACACACATGACACATGCGTGCATTTATTTAATGCATCTAAATTGTTTTAATTACGCATGTTTTTGTTAGGAGAAACTCAGTATAAAATCTATAGAAAACAATTTTTGCGATTTAGTTAAGTCGAAATAGATGGAAATGATAAACTTAGAAATAATCGTGTGAAATCGATGGACAAGGATAATAACAAAGTACAATTGGCCCAAACTAAACAGAGAAGCTTCAAATTGGGCCTTGAAACATAGTTGGTCTCAGAGTGAGAGAAGGCTTTGTAAGCCCAAAATAAAAATTCTACCGGCTCCGTGATTCGCTGCTTCAGCGAGCTCGAAGAAGAGGCCATGTCGCATTCCTCGTCTCTGTTGAATCCTCAAGCTCACCAAATCCTCTATCCTTTTCCCATTTTCTCTTCTTCTGCTTCTCCACGCAATCTTTGGCCTTTGCGAACTGTGAAGTTTCCGAGGAAGCTTCCTTCTCCGCTACTAGCTTTTCAGTCCTCTAATGAAGTACATGTTGACGACTTGGAAGAACATGTTATCGGCGACTGTGTCGTCTTCGAAGACGGCATATTCGAAGACCCAGTTCTTCAGGGAGACCTGGACATTGATAATTCCGGCTCAGATAATTCGAAACCCAAATCGAAGAAAAATGTCCCGGAGATTGTGCCGGAGAATTTGGTCCCCGACCGGTGGAGAGAAGCTCAGGCGGAGATCAACATCACGAAGAAGGAGAGGCGCAAGATTGCTCAGGAGATTGAATTCAATAGCAAAGTCGAGAAGAAGAAACAAGGGATGGTTCCCCTGAGGCATATGAACCTGGAAGAATATAAGGCGTATAAAGAGGCCAAATTGGCTCACCTGAAGCCCTTGGTTCTCGACAACCCTTCGAGTTTTCCGGTGAGAGAGGAGGTTCCCATCGGAAAAGAAGTTAATGTGAGTAATATGCATACTAGCGAACGCGTGGAGCCTAAGAATCCTAGGTGGGCAGTTTACGGCAGGGGTCTGGAGGACGTTTCAGACTTTTTCAGTAGTGAGAAGTACAATCCTAGTGAAAAGAATACCGAAGGTCAAGGTATCCATCTCTTTCAATCTTTCCTTAAAGCTTTTCTTTTTAATTCAATTGCTGGTTTCTGATAGCCGGGAACGGTCTAATGCATGAGAGTTTTGGAAGCCCAAGCGTTGGTTCGATATCTCGCCCTATGTTGAATCGAACTGTGGTTGTAGCACTTCTTCCTGAAATTTCAATTGATATGTTAAATTGGGCTCATAATAGTCTTTTCATTTATGCTCGAATGAATAGACCGTCGTAGGTTGTTTACAAAGGAGGAGAAGGTTTTATTGAATAAGCGGATACCAGATTTGGCAGCTGCTACTTCTGTAAGTTTTCCATGTCTAATGAATGCTTACTGTTGTCTTTTCTCCTTCGAAGTTTTCTCAGTAGTTTATTATTTCATGGTGTTTCATTTGAATTATCAGAAGAGTTCCTTGTGTCTTGAATATAATTCTTACTGCACTAAATTTCTTGAGTCTAAGAACCACAGTTGCAAGGTTTTACGGTTAAAACTTTGGTAAAGGCGTCAGGAAAAGAATGATGCTTCTTTGCTTATATGTAGTTCTTTTGGTCAATCATTTCACTGTCTTTTTTCCTTTTGACACCAATATCAAAATCATTTTCAGGAAAAGTGGCTGCCTCTGCACACTCTTGCTGCATGTGGAGAATTTTACCTTGTAGATTCTTTGTTGAAACATAATGTTGATATCAATGCTGTTGATAAGGTATATAATTGTCAATTTCCATGTGGAGAGGTAAAGCCTGCTAATGTTTTTGTTATTATATAATTTTTTGTGGTTTGCTTGTTTTCAGGATGGTTTGACTGCTCTTCACAAGGCCATAATTGGTAAAAAGCAGGCCATAACCAACTACCTTTTGAGAAATTCAGCTAATCCATTTGCACTTGATAAAGTGAGTAATTGACACTGCACTCACCCTTGCTACGCATCTACTTCTGAACACACCACCACTTGCATGGTTCGCTCTGTCCTAAGCCACTTAGGGAGGGCTATTAGTAGTGAGCACTTGAAGATAGTTTTCATGGAAGTTTATATTCAGACCTCTTGGTCATTATTGTACTTTAAGAAAATATTGTAGTGATGGTAGTATTGCATAACTTCTAGCTATTGGATTGTTTTAAGGAGATATTAATACAAATGAAAGACCTATTTGGCTATCACTGACATTTTTGTGTGCGTACTTCGTCTCACGTGCACTGGAAACAGGATGGGGCAACCTTGATGCACTATGCTGTTCAGACAGCTTCCAGCCAGACGATTAAAATCCTCTTACTATATAATGTTGATATAAATCTTCAGGACAATGTACGGTTAATTGTTTTTCCTATTTAGTTTAGCCTCTCCATGTCTTGTTCATTTGAGCGAGCTATTTGAGAACATAAATAATTTGCTCTCAGGATGGGTGGACACCATTACATGTTGCTGTTCAAGCCCGAAGAACGGATGTTGTGAGGCTTCTACTTATTAAAGGTGCTGACAAGACTATAAAAAACAAGGTAAATGACTGACCATTCCCCTTGATCATCGTTTGCAAAATAATGAAATACCCCTAGGTCTTTCATCATTCAAACTGAAGTATGTATAGCGACTAGAGAGAGAGAGATAAAGAGAAAAAAAAATGGGGGAGAGTGAAAATAGAGAAAGCAAGTTCAATACATCTATGTCATTCTTTCTCTGCTTCAGAGTTCAGAGACATTTCACTGATTTTATTCTTAAAGAGGATCTAAATCAATGGGGGAGTTTTGTGTTTGTCTCAGGATGGTTTAACTCCACTTGACCTTTGTCTTCATTCTGGCCAAGACTTGAGAACATACGAGCTAATCAAGCTGTTGAAGCAGCTTCCAAGGCGTTAGAGTAAGATAACAAATGGGGCTCGGAAAGAATAGATATGCTTGTAAGATTTGGAGAAAAAGACCAAAGCTAAGCTTTGTCAAGTTTTGCATGATAGTGAACAGCACTCCAGCATGTACGTTAATAGAAGTACTAATATTAGCTTTACAGATGAAAGGCGATGTGCCAATGGAAGCCTACGATTTGAGAGTCTATAGAAATGAACAGAATTTGTACCGTCATGTGCTGCATATTGTTGCTTGTAATATATGAGTTGAACTGTAAAATGATGTTATAGCGATGGTATGAACAGATTAACGTCTAATTAACCCAAGACCTAGAGTAATATTTGACTCTGCCTGTTGATTTGATTTTTACTTTTTTATTCTATTTATGATTTTCTCGGACCAAATACAATGACTGTGTGATTCATATATTCTACTCAGTGAGATAAGGCTTTTGGTATTGTTGTTCTAGTTAGGATTTTATAATATTTTGATTGGTTAGTTAGTGATAATTTTATATAGTTTTTGGTAAAATTTTACAAAAAATTTATATTTTAGGTCACGCTTGAGGTTTCAATATTTTAATTTTTTGAATTTCAAATTATGGACAAATAATTACTTTGTTGTTAATAATAAATTAAAGATAAAAAAATCAGTGACAAATTTAACAATTTAAAAATTTCAAGTTCAAATTTAAATAATTAGAAAATTATTTATTCTTGATTAGGAGATACAATGCAGTTTATACCTTTGGGCTCGATAAAAAGCCATTTTCTTGGACTTAGGTTACTCAACTGTGAATATCGTCAAAGTTTTGCGGTCACACTGCATATAAATCTATTTAAAAGAAATCATCCTGCGTTGGTCTATTAAAAAAAGTTATTTGTCATTTAAAAAGAAACAATCTCTTAGCCATTGCAGGCACATTGCGCATAAATCACATATTTTTCATTACCACATTAATTCAATATATTCAGCTGCAGAAAATGCAATAACGAAGATGGCAGCTTCATAAGACGTCGTAAAAGGCTACAAAAGGGAAGATAAAATTGTCACTCATCAGCTGCTGTGAATCCAAATGAAACATCAGATTTGTAAAGAAATTTGAAAAAAAAAAAAAAACAATAAACTTTTCAGAGAGCTAAACAAAATAGAGGACATCGTTTTCCTACAATAGTCATTCCTGACTTGTCTTGTTCTGTACATTGCTGCACAGTATTGAAGGTGTTGGCGTGCAAAGCCAGTCCTCTATACAAATCATGAAAGCACCATTAAGCATTCTATTTCCCACCATGTTTCCCCACACAACAATGCCAACAGAAACATCTGATGCTGCAGCAACACCTTAGTCTTGAACAATTTGGATAGCAGACAGTCGTTGAACCTTCTCCCCAACAGCACCAGCTTGGTCTCCATTTTGTGCCCAAACAATTTGACAACTTGGGAAATTGGCAACACTTCAAGCAACCTAATTTTGGTAATTGGCAACACTTTGAGCAACTTATTTTGGGTAATTGGCAACACTTGGAGCAACTTATTTTGGGTATTCTGCAACACTTGGAGCAACTTATTTTGGGTAATTGGCAGCACTTGAAGCAACTTGGTCTCCTGCAGCATGCAAGACAATTAAAGGAGCAGGAACATGTTATGCAGCTGCAATTTGAGCATTCTGGACATTTCATTCTACAGCAGTTCATGCTACAGCATCTGCAGGGGCAATTTGAGCATTCTGGACATTTCAATCTACAGCAGTTCATGCTACAGCATCTGCAGGGGCAAGTTGAGCATTCTGGACATTTCAATCTACAGCAGTCCATGCTACAGCAGGTGCAATTTGAGCATTCTGGACATTTTGATCTACAGCAGTCCATGCTACAGCAGGTGCAATTTGAGCATTCTGGACAGTTCAATCTACAGCAGTTCATGCTACAGCATCTGCAGGTGGATCCAGAGGCAGATCTTGATTGCAGATCAATATTTAGTCGGATTTTTTTGAGGCGTTTCTCTGTTGTCATGTTCTCCATTTCTTGAACAAATCTGCAGAGATGGCGAATGTAATCAGGGTAAAGCTCCAAGTTGCAGTGCCCACCTCCTTTGATCCATAGTGGTTCATATGGTTCCCTTGCCATTTTCCACAATCCATTGCCATGTAACCAATTGACAACATCATCTTCTGTCCCCTGTACATGGCAGACACCAAATAAATATATAATCATGGGAAGTGGTGAGAGGGCTCTTCAGAGCAAATTCAAGCTGGACTGAGAAAGCATGACAGATATGCTCAGTAAATAAACATGAAATTATGTGGGCGAAAACTGTTCAAGACAATCCAAGTCTCAGGAGCAAAGACATGGCATAGTAACAGATTGAGATTGTTATTTTAGCATGATTATATTATGTTGAACTAGAATTTCGGTGTGGTCCAGAATCCTACAATAACTGTGATGCATACTCTAATCCTGACATGCAGTTGATGTTCTCGGAATTTAACATACTTTCAGAACAGCATTCCAAAATTCCAGTAAACTGGACCACCTGGAAGTTTAAAAGTCGAAGAAACTTCAATTTACAATAGTAAATGAAGATCATAAATCTACGCGGGCATTTGATGGATATGACAATATAGAACCAACCAATTGAAGCAACTAGTAAGTTAGACGGAATATTACCCACAATCAAACTATCAACAGAAAAGTTTCCCTTCTAGTTTGAAACACGAGGAATCTCCAACACATTAGAATATTCTCTGTTGATACACTGACATTTCGGTACAAGAATAGTGATCCTCATTTTCTACTTATTTATAATTCTACCATGGGCAGTTCTAAGAATGTGTTGGCGGTTACTGTTGCCAAATAAATCGGCCAAGAAATAGATTTTTTTGTGATGGATTCATTTTTTGTCGAGCAGTTCGTTTCAGTATTCCTGACTAAGAGAGTGGCTTATTCCCTTCTCTTACAAGTCAGAAAAACTCTCCTTGTTTTTGTTTGTTCTGTGGATTGAACATTTGTCTGGGTGCTTGATTGCTCAGCTTTCACCTTCAACTATCAATGACCAGGGGTCTGTTTACAATCATGTCTCCTCCGTTAAACTCTAAGTACATGATAACGATGTCTATAAGAATTTGAACACGGCATATGAAATATGTGTTTCACAGTATAAAACTCAATTGAATGTAGAGTAAGATAAGCTATGTGAATTACAATAGCATCATATACTTACATGTATCACCAGTACTGGGCACTTCACCTTCTTTATTTTGTTAATGTTCTGCACAAGTCAGAAAATGGTGGTTTACAGATCATAGCAGATGATGCAAAAATCAAATATAACATGTACAGTAAAATTTGATATTCTTCAACTACAAGGTAAAATCAATGTGGCACAATGTGGTCCAATCTAGTTCATTCAAATTGCTGGTCATCAATTATGAAATGAGATAAAAGAACTTTTTGAGACTATATAACCAAAAGAAAAAAATCCACATTTGCATTTATCAATTTAGGCTGCACATGAAATTGATTTTCCTTTTATAAACATCATCAAGTATCATTAATCCAAATAATGAGATGAACAAAAGAGGACCTTCTCCAATCTATCTCCCAAAAATTCTACATTTCCACTAAAAGTTTACATTTAAGAGGACCTGTCTTCCTGGCAGAAGCACACTTGAACCCAAAAGAGATGTGGGGATCTATATTGAATTTAAGCATTGTTTACCATCTTGATTTACCAACGCAGTTGAAATGAAAATAATGAGTTATACATTTAAGAAAAGTAGGAGTCACCTCTTGATTCTTTCATATTATGATGTAGATTGTCATTGAATCAGAAGAAATTTGTGTTGACATGTATCCTTTACCATCACTATACTCAGTAGTAAGTACACTATTCTACAGAACCCTGAGCTCGACATTCCTATTTAAGACAGTGGTGTTCTCATATATTACCTTGTATATATCAAAGCAAAGCGTGAACTTCACATGGCAGAGCACACGGAGTCCAGAAAGAATGCCACTATGCAGAACGACGCCCCTCAACCTCGGCAATTTAGCTGCCAAGTGCAGAGTCGGCCCACTTCCCACTGATTGTCCATACAATATCAAGTCTTCTTGGCTCACTCCATATTGGGTCTCAAGGCATTCATATATTGCTTCAATGTCAGCATATGTATTCGATTCACTGGGCTGTATATTTTGAAAAAACTAGCATTACAAATCAATGACCTAACATGACATCCATTAAATTTGTTGCCAAGAGACAACAGATAAAACTAGTTTTAGTCAGACTCAACACAGGACATTGTGCAAAACCTGCTCTTATACTTTACTTAGTTCCACTAAAGAGACCACATCAAATTAATGTAACATCTGGGGACAAGAAAGTTAAACCAAAAGGGCTACCTTGCCAGTAGAAGCCCCATATCCAGAATAGTCATATCTGCAAAAATAAATTTAAATAAAAAAAAATCAGAGGGAAATATCAACTTCACGCTTGATCCAGAAATTGGCAGAGCAACTAATATCATTGCCCTTTCAATCAAAGCTCAGGCTCCAGTGAGTAATAAATCTCACTCTTAATAAACCCCAAAAAAATTGGAAGCAAATGGGGTTAAATTGTACCAAACATATTTAAATTTGAGGTAACTAAAGTGAAAACGAAACTAAAAATTAAACTTGATTGAATTTATAAGTCATAGAAAAAAGATAAAAGGATCAAACATTACTAGTTCCATATTTTAACAAACAGAAAAATAAACAGAGGAAAATAAACACAAAACACCAAAGACAGGCCAGGAAATGTCCACATCTATGCAGCAGCGCTAAAAACTTTGTTTACTTTATACAGAGCAGAAAGGAGGCCAAATAAATGCAGAAACCCAACCAAACCCCAAAAAAAAAAAAACAAAAGAAAAAAAAAGAGGCTCTTTAGTCTTAACGGACTGACGAGGAGCTACAAAACAACTTAACTTTTTTGTTTTTCACTTTGCTTTTTTTCCCCCTTTCATCGTTAGGCCAGAACGCACTTCTTTTACTTTCTCGGTTTCACCCTTTGATAGAAAAGTTGGAAAGGGCATTGACATTTGCATTTCTGATACAGTCATTCATCAGATCTAATAAGCCCAGGATTAGTCATCAATCAGAAACGTATAGTTATGCTTAATTCATGGTTTCAAATCCAAGCACGACAAAAACCAACAACCACCAAACTAAAAACAAACATATATCATATTTATTGCAGTACAGTGCCCTTATAATACAAAGTAAGGGTCAACATCAACGTGGTCTCTGAACTTGGTGAGAGAAAAAACCCATTTCTAAAGTCATAAGATGAATGAGCTTATAAAAGATTTTGTTTTCATGCTTGTTTGATGAAGAAATAGAAAAACCACTAACCCCATGAGATTAACTCTAAGATTGACCTTGAGTTGCACGAAGAGGTCATAGAGTTGACCCAAATCAGCAGCATTGCCATGAGAGTAAAGAAGAGTGAGGCGAGCGTATGGGTTCCTCAGATAAAAAGCGACAATCTTGTTCCCATGTTTCGTATCAACCAACAAAACGTCCAAGGAATTGTCGTCGGCGTGAGGAATCGAAACCGCCGGCGACGAGGGCGACACCACCGTGAGTTTGCCGTCATCTTGCTTCTTGAGCCGGTACGTCGGAGGAGACGGCGGAAAAAAGGCGAATTTCGCCGCTATCTGAGACAACATACACCCCATTCACTCTCCACCCCCCAGAAGCAAGAGATGAGAGGAACCCAAGAACTCATTTGATGGTCAAAGAGATTCTGAGTGCATTGGAACTTGTCGATATCAACTATCAAGCAAAAGGGCCTCTGAAAAGCTCATACACTCACAAGTTTCTGGGTTTTTCTGGGCACATGAGGGGGGAAAACATGAAGAAGAAGAAGAAGAAGAAGGCAAGTACAGGTTATAGTGACAGTATAGAGATTTAGGTAAAGACTGCTCAGCCAGACTAGTGCAAAAAATGAAATCTTTTGGAGCTTGTCAATATCAACGACTGGCAGAGGGAGGGTAACGGTCTATGAATCTCAAAGGTCTTTGGGTTTTGCTGGATTTGTGATGGAAAGGAAAAGAGCAGAAGTACGGATAGCATAGGCAGTAGGAGAGTAATAAGTTGAGGTGGTTCAGCTAGATGAGTGCTACTAAAGATGAAAATATTTTTCACTCCCAAAAAATTTGCAGTGTTGGAGCGTTCCAGGAAAGGAAGAGACTAGGGGGGGGGGGGAGAGAGAGAGAGTGATTGCAGAAGTGTGGTGTGGTGGTGGCGTGCAGTGGTGGAAACGAAATGAGAAAGAGAAAAAGTAAGGACACAAGTCTTAATTTCAAGACTTGGTTTAATTTATGTGCATGACTTCATTGTTGTCAGCTACACAGAGAAGCAGGTCATGTTCTAAGCTGTGACCTTACAAAATTATTTCCTTTTTTAATTTTCTGTCACTCTGTATTTGTAAGCAGATTCATGTCATGCATGCTTCCTTTATATAATAGCTCTAAAGCATCCCATCCTCCTGACACTTGTTCGAGCCCTGTTATCCAAATCCCCATCTTATGTATTTATAAAAACTCAACAAATAATTCTTTTGATACAACATAACAAATAATTCGAAGCATAGTATTAATATGAGAGAGAGAGAATTAGCTGTCATTGTTTTCTTTGAGGGTGATATGTTGAAGAAACGTAGAGGGTAGAGAGAGAGAGAGAGTATGAAATGAAGCTTGGCCTCCAAGGTGGCATGAAATTCAAGATTAGTGGCTGCGTATGATTAATTATGATTCAAATCAGACACAATGATGCATTAAAGAAGAATGGTTGATGAAAAGGGGGGGAAAAGGAGAAGAGGATAATGGGAAATGAGGATGGAAAAAGCAATAAGAGTTAATGATGAAGAGTGAAGAGTATTGGGGTCATGATCGTTGAAAACTTGGGACTTTCGTCCTGTAGTGTAATTCTGGACGAGTGACTGTGACGCCTAATATTTACAGTCATTTTCAGGGGATTCGCCATTTCTTGTTTTTTTAAACCAAAATGACTTGCAGAAGAAAAATCAAGGACAGGGAGCGAGCGAGTGAAATTATATGCTCCACAGTCACACGTACAATCAATCATTTGGGGCACTGTTTAAATATGGAAAATAAAATTCAAATTTTGAAAAAACCCATTTCAAGTTCTGGTACTTTCTTCATCATTCATCTTCAAAAATTAAAAATTTTAATGGAATCTTATCGATAAATAATATTATGATTAATAACTAGATATCAATATTAATGCAGAATATGACTATGTACATTTTTTGTTTTGCCAGAAATATGATTAATAGAAAATCACAATAAAAAATCTCAAGAACAACTTATTTACAAAAAAAGATTAAAACGTTCTGAAATCACTTTGCAAGACTAATATGCTAAAATATAATTAAAATCTGGTATAAAAAAATATCCTAGTTTTTTTTTTAATTTCCCCTACTATCACCAGCAGCTGGTCCGGTGAGAGGCCAAATTTTTCTCTCTATTTCTATTTATAAATTATTTTAATATTTTTTCTGAAATTAAAGAAAAACTTTAAATATCATTAATATTAATGAGTCTTTAAAAATTCAACAAATTTTAAACTTTACATCCATTAAATATACCTACTTTAAAATAAAATAATCTAATATTTAATAAACTTTCCTAAACTTAATGGAAAAAAATAGTAAAAATAAATATAATAACAATTGAAATGTTTTATGAATAAGACTAAAACAAATATTCTTACTCTATCTTGTAATTTCTTTTAAGGTGGCCAAGGGAGTTTGGACGCACAACCCCTTAGCCACTCAAAAATATCAATAGCAACAATGCCTCTTAATTATATAGTGCATGTGTGCGGATATCTATTATAAACTTTGTTTTCACATCCTGAGCAATGTTTGTCAAGCTAGATGATTGTTTGTTCAATTATTAATAAAATTTATTAAAAAATTTAATATGTACTGGTTTTTACTTTTTATCATGTTTATTTATTTTTAGACTAAAGCATACATTTAGTTCTTTAATTTTACACAATGTTTTATTTTAAATCCTTAACTTTATAAAGCGTCTTTTTAATTCTTTAATTCTAACACTATTAATTTTACCTCGACAAATTTTTATATTGACCTTTTAAATATTAATAAAATATTATCAAATATTAACATATTAAGTTTAATTTTTTTAAAATAACAATGATTGACACAAAAAATAATAATTTAAAATTAATTATATTAGAGTTAAAAGACTAAAAAGATACTTTATAAAATTAAATGACTAAATTGAAACTTTATATAAAACTATAAGATTAAAAATATATTATAGCCTTTGTCTTTATTATCAAAAGTTTACAAGTTAAAAGCTTATATGAACTTGTTATTTTGTTAAAATTTATATATTAAATTAGCAAGGGATTTTTTCAAAGATTTATAAAAGCCAATGCATATTATTTTTTTTAACAAGTTCTCATTAAAATTTTTTAAAAATAATCATTTGTGAAATGATAAATCATATTATTAACTTTGAAAACCTAGGAACTAATACCAAAACGTATTAAAGATATAGGGTAGAACAATTATATTTTTCCATTCTTTTAGTTACATGTGTAATTTTATATTTCTTTAATATTTTCCCCTTTATTTTAATAAAAATTAAATATTAAAAAGATGAGTAAAATATTGACAATTTATTGAATTATGATACTCCTCTATTAAAAAATATAAGATATTTTTTGATATAATTAATTCTTTTTTTAAGTGCCCATAATAAATAAATAATTGTATATTTACTTTAAAGCAAAACATTCTATTAAATAAAGATAAATAAAAAAAGATAATATTGGTATGAAAATAATTAGCAACTTTATTGATAGGTAAAATTTAATTAAAAATATTTTATCTTTTAATGGATAAATTAGGATTCGGAGAAATACTTATTTCATTTTCACACCCCAAGTGTAAAATCCTATCATTCGCATTTTGATTTTGTAAAGATTTTTACCAATCAATTGAACACTAACTTTTAATGTTTATTTTATAATTTCCACTAAAATAATGTCACCTTTTTTTGAAAAAGACTACCATCATATGTTTTGATGTAGACTCCGAACAGTAAACTGATAGATACTAACGAGATATATATAAAATTCCGAGTTAAAAAAAAAAAGAGATATTTCAGTATTAAAATGATTTTTAGCTTTTAGTATTGCTTTAAAAAAAGTTATTTTATTCTTGCATTTGTTTTGGAAGAGCATATCAACTAACTTCTCAGAGTCTGTATGTATTCAATATTCACGCAGTGACATCTAGTTTCACATGGTCCACTTTTTTAAAATGATAAAAAAGATGTAAAAATTATTTTCTGGCCAACAAGATGTAAAAATTACATGGCGCTCTCTTTACTTTGGCGAAACTTTAATTAGAAGAGGCGCGTGGGGTTACCCCCACTGTCAAGTTGCTTTGACACAGCGTTTGGTCGATTCCCCCTCTGCCCCCAGCAACTGGGGCATGAATCAGAAATGAGTTTTTGACTTTATGATGGATGAATTGGAGAAAATATGATAAATATTTCTTAAAATTTATAAGTTTACTAATGAATAAAAACAAAGAGGCACGTGATAATTTCTCATATCCAAAAACGAAGAGAATATTTAGCATGTAATATTACTGAATAATCCCAATTTTTCAATATATTCACAACACTCCAATTCAATATCTGTTTAAAGGATTTTTCCCCCCGAGCACAAATCCCAAATTCTGTGTTAACTTCTTTCCGTTTGAGCATGACTATGAATAATGCGACTTCTCCTAAATTTTATAATATGTGTAATTATTTATATTTCGTCATGGAAAAATAAAATAAAGTAGGTTATTTTAAAAAATTTTTATTCTTGACTTGAGTAAAAATTCAACATATTGCCTGAAATACCCGTAAAACAGTTATTAGTAATAACAGCCCATGTAGTGAGGGTCCAGAGAATGGTGGTAATATCATTAGATTTATCATGATACCTAACAAATAAAATAAAAAAAAATCTAAAATATTTATCTCTACACTGCATTGAATATGTGAAATAAATTGATGTTCATAATTAGTTGGTTGTGCACGAGGCTATCAGGAAGGGTCTCCTAACAATGGTTAAACGAGCAGCGTTAAAAGAAACTATCTCCTCAGACGGACAAAAGAGAAATGCTGCTATCTTTCAAGATTGTATTATGAAGCAGCCACAGTGATAAGAAAAATTGATTGCAAAGTCAAGTATTGAGACCCAAATTCTTACCAATAAATTATTATTTTTTGCACAAGCGCAGCTCGATATTTTAGGACAAGTCATCTTTCAAATACATCAACAGTTTCAGATTAATTCGAACCAAGACATGATATGAAATCATTAAGATTGACAACCCTAATCTTTAGAGTGTTGCATACCCACATGTCGAACTCAAAACTTGTGATTAAGCTAGCATAACTTCAACAACTCCACACGGGTTTATCAATAAATTATTTTATTTGTTGCACATGGTACTGTAAATACAGACACGCAAACGCATCAAACAACGGGAAGCTTAAAAAAGTGTTAATTAATAATATAGACTTCATTCACCCCGTTTGATTGTGCTATTGTTTTTTCCACCATGGGATTTTTTTTTTGGAGGTATAATAGAGTCCAATATTTTTCAAGATTGTTAAAGTAACAGGAAATAGACTCTTCTTGGTTAAATTACTACATGTACAAAAATTAATATTTGAATTCTTAATTATTTCTCTAATATTATTTGCAAAACAGTTCTAACATATTTAACTGAAATAAGAAAAACATTAAAATATATTAACTTTATTTAAAAATTTAATAAATTTTCACCTAAACCTTATAATAAAGACAAAATAAATTATTTTTTATATTTAATAATGACAAAACGATAAATATGAATATAAAGATAGTAAAATATTTTATAAATAATTTTTATTTTTATTTTATAAATAAAAATAAAAGTACTCCCTCACATTTAAATGACAGGATTTCTACCCATTAATCATTCACATCAACACGGGTTAATCAAATGGAATAATTCTAATTAGATTTCTGTTATTTATACGAGAAGATATTCTTTTCGTCAAAAGTAGCCTGTCAAGGTAATCCCTTCGATTTTGCAAATCAATGTTGGAAAATGCCCTAAAATGGCATCCTCTCCTTCTCTTCCACGTGTATTGTTGGCAACATCAGCTCCAACTTTTGCACTCATTCACAACTCCTTCAATTATTCTATTTTGGCCAATCAACGTCCTCAGGATCTTTCGTTTGGATTTCAGTTGGGTATAATAATTATAAAAATAATTGATTAAGTAGTAGATTTTAATCATAATTAATTATGTTATAACGTAATTTATTTAGATTTTTTTTAAATTAAATTTAACTTAATATATGTTAGCAACTTTTTTAAAGATTTAAAATTTA